CGGGGTTGGCAGCGGGACGTGGTGGGTGCGGGGCCTGGTTCTGCACGTCGGGAAGCCGGTGCGCCGGCACCTGGGCCGGTTCTCCGAGAAACGGCATCGCTCTCCTCCCGGTCTGAGCGGAGGTGGCTTTGCTTCTCCAAACCAGCGCTTTAGAGAGGCCGTTATCAGAGCTGAAGCTGAGAATTACTCGCACCTATTCACAGACTTTAAAAACGTTATCTGCTTCACTCCTCAACACCCTGTGGATTCACAGCACCGAACAGCCCAAATTCTGGATTTAGTTACCTCGCTGAAGAGTCTGAGGTGATCATCGCTGGGCAAACACTCTGTACTGTCAGGAATTAAGCAGCCAAAGATTATTTGAAACCCATTACTGTGATTTATGACTAATACATAGCTCTGGTGTTTTGCAGAATCAATGTCATCAGAGTCAGTTTCCCCTCACGCTTTATGTTTCTTTTTCTTCTTCAGTTCTCGGCTGCCCCAGACAGTTCTGTTCCGAGGAAGTCACTGGCAGACTTCGCTGCTGGCGTTCAGGGCGTCTCTCCCCGTGAGGTGAGTGCAACTTCCATGGACTTATGTAAAAGTATTTTCATCCTTAGGGGAGCACAAATTTTCCCAAGTCCAAACTACCTTTTAACTATAGATGTTTGCTTTTAAGTTGCTATATGTAAAAGCAGTTAAGAACTGTTGGCCCCCTGAGTTTAATGCTAACCTATACAATTATCGCTTTATGCTTGTGCGTAGCTGTATTTGCTTCTTCCAGCAGACTGTGGTTGGAGACGTTCGGATTTATGCTGTGCTCCAGAATTCTCTTTTGATCAGCAATGGAAACAAAAGCGTAGCTGAACTGAAAATACTTTACTATAAAGTGGTATACTAGACAGCCCACATTTATGCATATGTTACATTTTGGTATCCATGTTTTGTTTTGATGCAACAAGATTTCAAATACCATGGTAGCTATTAGGTACCATCAGAGAGACCATTTCACACCATGAAGGTTGGTTGTTTGATCTGCAAGGCAGGAATGACATCCCCTAGGTCCATGGTGAGGATATTTGTGTGTGTCAGGTATGCCATGCGTTATCTTGGGTGTACTGGGTCTGTGTGGAAAAGTACAGCAGGAGAGTAACATCTGCAGCCTGAATTTGGTTCCAAATGTGGAAAATTTAGAAGCACATGCAAAACCATAAAAGCACTCACTCTCTTCCCTAACATGAGATGACAGGACTATTTGCAGATAAACCTGTTACCTGCTCTGCTGCACTCTGAGCTAGTGCTAAACAATTCCAATTCAATTTTTGTGGAACTTCCTCAGGTCATTTTGATGTTCAGCACAAAATCAGAGGTTGCTTTTCTCGGGCAGGTACAGTTCCCTGCAGAAAATCTCACAAGACACATTACTGTCTCTTGGAAATTACATTACTTGAATAAAGCTAATGGCTTGAACTTCTATTAGGGACCAAATTAAGTAATGGGAAGGAACAGTCCTTAGAGAAGTAAAGTGGAAGTGAAAGCTGCTGATGTTGAATTAAATGACAAAATATCTTCTTTCATTTGTGTAATTATCTCCCTTGTAGAGCACAACCAAAGAAGAAGAAGAAAGTGGATCCAAGGAGAGAGCAAGCACAGAAGGATCGTATGAAAAAGAAGATTAAAAAGTTGGAAAAGGCTGCCCCAGAAATGATTCCGATTGAGGATTTTGTAGCACCGCTTAAGTACTCGGATAGCAACAGGTCAGTAAGGCTGTCTTTCACCGTGCACTTGCATTCGTGGTAGAAACACTTCTAATGCCTTTCTTTTCAAAACTGCAATACAGCACCAGCCTTGGTACAAACCTTATCTACTTCTACCAGGACAAAAATGTGGAAAGAAAACTTTTTTTGTTCCTGCTAAAAGCAGTGAAAAAATAGTAACACGAATTTCCTGTTAGAACGACCGTGGAAAACCTCACAGATAGCCACTGCATGAATGAAATGTATTCTCTGCTTTGGTGGGGTTTTTTTGGTTGGTGGTGGGGTTTTGTGTTTTGCCTTTTTAAAAAAAAAAATTTTTGCTCTTTGGGGTGCAGGCTATTTATTTATTACGTTATCTTATTCTTTATCAGGGTGCGAAGTCTTCCCCCTCTGTCATTTGAGGAGACCGAAAGAAGAGTTTTACTTATGAAGAAGTGGTGTTTGTTTAAGCAGAAACAAGATAAGGCAGAAAAGAAAGCAATTCAGACCCTTGTAGAAGCTCAGCAAGAGGCCCTAAAGGAACTGCGCCTTGAATCGGAGGAGTTGTATCAGGCAGCAATCAGACGAGATGAGGGGCTTCTCCCCTTTGAGAGAGATGGACCTAATTATACCCCACCAATTCCTGGGTATGATCCTCCTGAAGGGAAATGCGTTGATATCACTAAAGTGTATACGCAGTGATGGAGATTGTTTTTCATCTGGCATGAGCTACTTAGCCGACTGAAGGAGGAAAGAAAGGAACAAGAATAAACAATTCCTTCTGCGGGTTAAATACTGTAGGTGTGCATATTAATGAAGTATCTGTTTGCTTGGGTTTTTTAAATGGCCAGCTAACTAATTAAAGACACTCAACAAAACTACACTACCTTACGCTTGTGCCATGCTAAAAGAAGACAAAGAAGGAGAATTTCACGGAGTATTTTACCTTTCTGGGCTTTTCTTTCTCATCCCTCCATACACTCTCGAGCGGCATTTTTTTGTTCTGCATAAACTGTAACTCAGAGGATTTCTGTGCTATAATGTCACAATTACCACATCAGTCTGTACTGTAAGGGAGGTAGCAGCTGACTGTTTACTGCCTTTCTTTTCAGAGTTCAGTGAAGTACTTTTGCATGTAAGAGATGGAAAACATACTGTGACAAAGCCAAAATTAAGTAGGTTTTTTTTTTAATTGCAATATAAGTAAGTTTCTAAGGGCTTGCCCTAAAACAAAACAGATGTCTTTTCATTCATTTAAACCTTTATTTTTGTAGTCATTTTGAATACCACTATTGACACACACCACAGTTCCACAAAGGGGCAGTTTCAGGGTCTGCAACATCATCCCACCGCGTGAGAAGCTCTTAGCCTACAACAGTCCGGAACCTGGGAAATGCCTTTTAAAGACCAGTGGTTGTGATTGTCCTGAACTGGCATGGAAGAGTCCCAGTTTGCTTTTGTTTTCCTATCTGGCAGGCCTGGCGTGGGTCCCTTGTTCCAAAAGTGTGCAACGCCAGCTGGTAGGGGAAGAGGTCCTCGTCTAGCACGAGGAGCTAGATCATGTGTGCACTACCTTGGGAGTTGCCTGCTGAGATGAAATCCTAAAGTGTAAGACAGCAGTAAGAGACTAGAATCAAACTAAGCACCTCAAATCTCCTTTAAAAAAAACACTGGGTGTTTAAATAAACTCTGGGTATCTTTGAATGAGTACTAAAGTATTGCAAGGCAGAGCTACAGTTGTGTACTTTCAAGACAGCATGGAAGAAACAACCCCAGCACAGTTCTGTATTGTGTATTACGCTACTGACCAAACACAGCAATACGGTCTTGCTAATTTGGTTTGTCTTGGTCAAGCGGAAGATACCAGTCAGGTGGTGGGCTCTTCCTGAGCTTCCACACTGGAGCGTGTTTCTGTTTTTCCTTAACTCGAGCTCTTTCACTCTCGCACAAAGCTTCCTGAAATACAGGGAAAAAATATTACGACGACAGCACGGGATGTTATAGTCTTACAGAGCCTATTCCACAGCTGATGTATACAAGAAAAAGGTATTCAGCTCTCTAGAAGTTGCACAGGGCAAAATTTTAAAACAGCCACAATCCAGTATCCATGTTTGTTCGGGTTACAAATGCAGCGGTTAATTTGTGGCTATCTTAAGTATCCATGAATATCTTTGTGGAGCATTTTAAATGAGAACCTTCATTAGTTCTGCAAATGAAGTATCGCTATAATAATTGTTAGTATTATCAGCGTGGCTGGGGAAGCTCCTTCAGTAATGTGGTTTTTATTTTCAGAATGCACCAAAATGGATGTAATGAAGTAATTGAATTAATAGTGCACGGCGACTAAAAAAAAAAGGAGGAAAGCTGTTTTTATGTTTGCTTTCTGAGTAAGGGCAGAGGGAAGGCTTGAGGTAGGCAGACAAGTGCATGAAAGGCACTAAAATCAGGAGACATGGCAAAGAGAAGGTGCTTCTGTCTTGAGGAAAAAAGAGAAACTCAGGCTAGGTATCAGGAAAAAAAGATGGATAAAGGGATGGTAGAGATAATATTGGGCAGATTTATATAAACTTTAATTTTAACATTTAGTTGATAGCACTGAAACAGGCTGTCTAACAGAGTTCCTTTTTTGGAATAGCTTCACTGTTTTTTCAGTAAAGCCAAAATAAACGTATGGGACGTTCAGGACACTTGTAAAGCTTGAAATGATGGCTGGGTACCACAGAAAAGAGTGCAAAACAGTGCATATTTTCTGATGCCCTATTTCAAAATCGGTTAATCAAAACAAGTTGTTAGCAGTAAGTGGCAGTGTAAATTTTAAGGAAGTAAAGTGTATCCGTTCTCTCCACTAACTGTCAGCAGGGTCTGAACCCTTCACATTTAGTGCAAAAGCCCATGTCTCAGCCCCTGGAAGTAAAGCCATTAACTGCCATAACAGCTCCACGGACTGTTGGGGTTTATGCAGGCCTGCTGCGAAGGGAAGGCACGGCATGCACTCTATTCACTTGTGACCAGAGAACCGCGCAGTCTGGCACCGACGGCGCCGGGGCTCCGCGCTCCCGCACCAGGCAGGGAAGCCGGGTCTCGCCTCTCCCCCGCCCTGGCGTTAGAGTGCTGCAGTGCGTCACTGTGTAGGAACTACTACAAGGCAGGTTATTAATTACAAATACAGAAAGCGATTACAGGGGCAGTGCTTAGGATAACCCCTGAAGCCAGGATCAGAGACTCCCTGCACAAAGTCCTGCGCTCCCCCCTGCCAGCCTTCGTTTGCACCACACCAAACCGCTGACTGGGAACTGGGGCAAAAGGTACAGAGAGGGAGGAAAACGCCAAGCATGGAGCAACGTGAGGCCACCACCACTCAGGGTATGAGAGCGGAGGACGGAGTCTGAGAACCGGACCTTTGGGTATGGTAGAACTTGTTGGGTTTATCCAAGATCTACTTTACCTTCTTCACAACACATACGAAAAACTCCTTCAGAATTCTTAGAACTTAATTTTCAACTGAAAATGAAGGCAGTCTGACAGCTCCCATCTTAAACGTGAAACCAAAACCAGTAAAAATGTTCTTGTGTTGCAAAACGATCTCTCCTCTCAACTGCAATAACTAAGATCCAACACACTGCAGTTATTTTATTGTCCTCCTAATTGACTAAAGGTACCACGACTTAGGGTTTTCTTCCCTTTTTGCGCAGGGACTGGCCTTCTCCTGAAAAGGCAATAAACCGGCTTCCAGACTCATCCTGGAAAAAAGGAAAGGGGAAAAAAGGTAGTTACCTCTTTGCTCACTGCTTGTGTGTGATGAAAGCTGAACGACCGTTAGAAAGAACATTCCATCAGAGCAGCAACTGACTGTAGGCATTTCACATCCTTAATCTACATAATAACCACTTTCTTCCTGAAAATAAAACACGAGCATTTCAGTGACCTTTCAGCCACCTGAAACACGTATGCACTGGCTTTTCAACAGCAGTGGTGCTGTGAAAAATCACGTATGGAGAGAGGAACCACGAACTCAGAGAGGAGTTCTAATGTTCTTATTCAATGCAAAATTATTTACCTCTTCGACTTTCTTAACTAGTGGACGTGAGTTTCTAATGAATGTGATTCTACCGATCTTGAAGTCATAGTTGGGTATTCCTCTGGAAAAGAAGCATAAAAATACTATGAACACAGTGAGACCTATTCTATGCCTGCCAGTATCGTACCAACACTGGCTGCAAATTTCGAGTTAAACCACTGAATTATTTTTTTTAAGGTAGGCATACATTGCATGAAGTAAACAATCAGAACTGGAGCTGCTGTAGAAGCTGGGCTGTGGGCATGTTTCCACGTAGCCTGTGGTTTCCACAGGGCCATGGACACGCTTTTCCACAAGGGTTCAAGTTTTATTGTGACAGGTGTAAATGACTGAATGCCACAGGAATGACATCCCCACACACTTCCACTAAGCCTGAATTTTCTAAATTTCCTTCTAAGAAAAAAAAAAAATAAACCACACAAAAAACTGAAACAACCAACCCACAGATGGCTTGGCTTTGGTTAACCACCGGACTAAAAAAAGGTATCACTCTCCACCAAATTTTACTTTAGAGAACTGGCAGGGCTCTGTGCATCACTTGATCCAGCCCACCAGCCCAGTCTAAACCTGCTGTGTCTCCCCACTTCTAAAGAACTGGAGTTGATTGAGTCAGTTTTGGCAACGTTAACTTAGGATCTGCATCTTAAGTAGTCAGAGATATCCCAGTCAGTCTAGAATATTAACTATTTCTTTTCTAAATGCAAACTTCTGGTGAAATTAGCTTGCTTATATTGCGGGAGCTGGGGGGGAATCACACAAACTCTGCTGAAATACTGATCCTTCACTTGCTGACAACTGAATAAAATGGGCATACCTTCGAATGTCTCCTGGTTTAATTGGCGACGGACTAGGCTCAACACCTTTCTTCTTGCCATCCAGTCTGTTTCCAGAACCAGAGAACGCCTATGTACACGTAACGAGTTTTAATTTAAGTGTATCTTGTTTTTGAAAGCATACTGTCTAGGGATACTATATTCTGTAAAATCTTACTATCATTTTTAATTCTTTGATTTAGCATGTTTCTTTTTAGTACATATAATAAGCTGATGAACACCAGGTGTATGTTCCAGCCTCCTGTTTATAGGCTGCCTCTTTAAGGACAGCAAGTCATACTGTGACTGGCTGCAAGCACCACAAAAGATTCACAGACACTTGCCAGTTACCTGAGCACCTCTAAGAACAGGTACCAGTATTTTGCAGTTGTTCAGAACAACTTTCCCTCATCATTTTACAACATTTAGAAAACAGCAGAAACAGGGGACTTACACGAAATCCGGTGTCACTCACATATCCACTATGGTCTGCTTCAACATCCTGTGAGGGACAGAACCGTTACTTCATTGTGTTCGCGTTGTGACAGACAGAACAAAAGAAAACAGCTCCACATATTTCTGACCAAACAAAACTTCAGAATAATCCATTTCTGAAATCAATAGCTAGTAAACAACCATCTCCTAAGTAACACAAGCAAAAGCATCTGGTAAGTAAGGTTTAGTCTTAAGAAATTGCTTCAAGAAAAAAAAAAATCATGTTGGAGCTCACTGCTCTATCACAAGCAAGGCTAATTTCTAGAGAATGCATTTTTGAAGAACAGAAGCTTAACTTACTGTGGTCTCTTCATGTTGTGCACTTCTTTCTGGTTCTTTGTAACCCAAAGGAGCATCAAAATCCACCTATTTAAATAAGAAGTATGAAAATAAGCATGACTGATATTTTTATTTCAATCATAAGCTTTATACTATTCCTCAAAACTCCACAATCACTCTATTTTGATCTAGACAGAATTAGAAAGAACTGAGGTTTGCTTGTTATGAAACATTTTAACTCAGAACTAAAAAGACTAAGCCTTCCAGGAATGAGTCTTAGCACATAATTGTAACGGAGCAGTAAAACAGCACCCCACAATACCACCGGAGTTTGAATCAAGACAAGGCTGTCAAATAAAACTCAGATTACAAAACATGTTGAATCTAAACATTAAATTCTAGGCACCACAGTTACCTGATGGTACATGAAGTCCAGCTCAGTACCACAGACGTGGTTACAAAGGTACATGGGGTACTCTCAAATGAGTCATCTTCCCTATCCCATCTGATTTTACCTTTTCCGCTGCATCAGAGGTGCTTGGCATACAGTACGGTCACTGAACGAGATGCCCTCTCCTTTTGGGAGGACACAGCAAAAGCAGACTCTCCATATTGGCTTTAACTTACATTCATATCGCATTCTATGATGGACACAGCTTTATCCGGTTTGGTCTCCATCACCCGAAGTTCGTAGATCTGAAACAGTCATGAATATTTTAAGATTGCATATGAAAGAGTTCAACTTTTACATTAAGAAAAGCATATCTAAACCTTTCCCTTCAGATAGCTTCAAGGAAAGTGAAATAAGTGCTCTTTAGGTTGAGGACTGGATACTGCAAGGTCTCTACAGAACTTGAGAGCAAAGATTTTCAACGTAGAAGATTGCTATATGCTGGAGCTAGAGAATCTACCTTTTACTGTACCTTGCTGCACTCCTACTGTACCTTAATCTGCATTTTTGAAAACAAATTAAGAACTTCAGATAAATTCTGTCCCTTGACTTGTAAAAACACCAACAGCACAAAAATTTATTTTCTCGTGAGTCAAAAAACAGTCTAAACAGCAGCTCAGGAGACAACTTAACTGATCTCTTTTTCTTCCAATAGAAAACCGACTACAAAATCTACTGAGATTACTTGTCAACAACACTGCACAGCTCTGTGTTGATTGTTTTAGCACCAACACCCAACAACTGAGCTTAGTCTACAACCCCAAGTGATCAAATGTGCACATGTACTGCCAAAAATAGTCATCTGTAAAATCTATTCAAAAGACATAGTCAAAGTACTCATGTAGTAACAGCCTACTGAAATACAACCTACTTTTTTACATGGGGCAGAATTTACTTCGTCAAATTGATGGTATCCAAACAGAACTTGCATGGACTTGTGTTGTATACTGTACCTTTTCATTGTAGTTGATGGCAATAACGTCCCCAGTAGTCAGACAAGCAAAGTTTCTCAATGCATTTTCTAATCTTTGGAGTATGTTAAGATGAAACATTTTCAGTGCAACAGCAAAGCTTTAAAGCTACTACATTATAAAACTCTGATCCTTGGTCTCTCAAAGGTGGTTTAAAAGTCATCAGTACTGTAGACAGCCTTTTAGTAAACATCAGGATGTACAAGTTCTTCTAAACGACAGGCAAATTCATTGGCCTTTAAGCCAAGATTCATGCTTCTTCATGCCAGACTACATCTTGTGCCAGCAGTTTGCAACATCTCCGTACATAAGCTCTCCATCCCTTTTGTTTTCAGAAGGAGCAGTAGCAGTCATCTACTACCGGAAGAGCATGAGCCACACCTGAAAAGCTAGCTATGCTTCCTCATTCCAATATGGGAAAAACACTTTTGTCCCTAGCTCCATAAGCAATAGGAAGGATACACAGCTTTGGGATTGGTGATGTCAAGAAAATCTGGACTCTGTGGCTGAAATTTTGAGTAAGTAGCAACTTGAAGATTAACACTCTCCACTTGTACCAGGCCTCCCTCTTCCAGCAGCAAGTTCTGCATCATCTGCAAGAATGAAAACAAAGACACAAACCACTGATGTTCCTAATTCTCTTTCCTTGCATATACTTATTTTCACCAGAGCCGCCATCTTCCCTGAAATGCACCAGTTTACCATGTTTTAACTTCAGGAAGAACAGTCAGGTGCATCTTAAAAAGCAGCCTGCTTTGCTTACTTAAGCTCTTATGGAGGAAAACCTGAGCTGTGACTGAAAGCTGTCGTAGACACATGACTAGCAAAGACACACACTTGCAGGAAACTTTCCGCCTCTTTAATATTAAACAGGAAACTCACTAATCCCACTCTTCAGGTTTTGACAGTTCAGCATGAGACAACTCACCCAGTGTGGAAGGTAACATATGCCCTCATCGGCCACAAACTCAAGCACTCCACAGTGCGTCATTCGGTCTGAATTTTTATTGGTCAACTTAAAGAGCATTGGGTATGTAATGTTAAGTCGGCCTGGTGAGAAAGGAGAAAAAAATTTTACTTGTTAAAAGCCACTAGAACATTTCTGAGGCTTTCAGAGATTGAACATTAGCAAGAGAATGGGCCAGACTATAGGAGAAGGATTCTCCTCACACCAGTAGTCCAACTCCTCAAAACCACAAATCCAGGAGAGAATACAGATACAGGATACATTGCACGTAGGGCTTTAAACGCCTCTCCAACATTTCCCTAAGCTCAGAGATGAGCAGGCAGCAGGCATTAGCAGAGAAATCTATTATTGTTACGTCCTTGTGCTATTATCATTTAGCTCCTACCTAATGAATTTCAGCACGCTCTGCTTATTTTAAAAATAAAACCTGACTTAACTAATTTCTCAAAGAAACTCTCTTAAAACTAAAACTCAGAAGGGGGTGGGAAACGCCCTTAGTTCAAAAGGCCAATAAACACCATTTATACTATTGATTCAGTTATCTTTTTCCCCATTTCAAAGTTCATTTTCACTTATTTTGTCTTTAAAATAAAGTTTGCTTCAGAGGACAGCATCCAGAACAAGCAGGTTGAGATTAAGAATTTATAGATGAACTGTAACCACTATACTGAGTAGGCTATTAATAGTTGATAAACACTGATTCATGCCTCATTAGCCCAACGCTTCAGATGTCTGTACTTAAAGACAGACAAGCGTCATTATGACAGATAAAACACTTCCAAAATACATTTTCTGAACTAATTAGTCTCCTATTTTCCATTTAAGTCAGATTTTAACAGATAAGTAAAATACTGTGCTATTTGCTTATGCATTTGCTCATATTTCTAATGTTGCTATTCCAGAATATAATATTCACTTACTGAGTTGATCCAAAGCTGATGGTGGCATAATTACTGCAGAAATGAATAATAATTTAAGATTAGGAAAAGCATGACTGTACAAAGAGTACAGAACATACAATTCTATCATTCCTTTCTCTAAAATCTTCTTTCCCTTTCCTAAAAAACCCCCCAAAAAAAAAAAAAAAAAAGATTCTAAAATCTCCTGTAAATTCATTTTTGAGCCAGAGATTTCAGCAGAACCAGTCACGACAAGTATACCTGCTAGCATGGGGGTTTCAGAACTTCATCAGAACAAAAGAGAAGACAAAGTTTTATAACACTTAGTACTAAAGAAGAAGTTTCTTAAAGGTAATTTCATTTGTTCAGGCTTATAGGTGCTCTTAAATCGATGCCAGCTCAAAACAACGTAGCATTAGTCTGACAGGCTGAAAATTAAGTTGGCCAATCTATTCTCTTTGTTCAGGCTAAGTGAGGTATAACAAGCAAGGGGCGAAAAGTCCTTAATCATAAACTTCCATGGCTTACAGTGGGCTTAAGATTTTAACTAAAGACTTTAAAAAAGAAGAATGTCTTATTCTAATGCTAATAAACCAGGACTCACTCGGTAAGTTTCTTAATTACACGCTCATGCGATAAACCCCTCCCCTCCTTCCTTCTCAAAGCCCCACCCAGGGTGCTCTTCCAGCTCCAGCCACACAGCCAACAGTACAACCGCCTTTCTGCGGTCTTGGCCAAAAGCTGTATTACTTGATATCATTCACAAACACTCTTCCCACAGGTTATTAGTCAAAATAAAACAGGCACATACTCTTCCCGCCTTTCTCCACATCTGACCTGTCATTAGGTCCGGCAAGCATGGATACCGAGAAGCAGCGGTACTGAGTTGAGAAGCGGTTCTGGAAAACCCGAGGGATGGGGTGGTCAAACATATTAAAAGAGAACTAGAAGGGGGAAAAAACACACAGAAAAAAGAGCGCGTTAGCGGGTATCTCCGGCTCGCTGAAGCGTCGCAGCGCTCGCTGCAGCCTCCCGAAGTTCAGCCGAAACCAGGCTGGGAGCCGCCCGGCCGACCCCTGCCCGCTGAGGCGGCCCGGCTTCCCACACAGCTCCCGCGCTGACCGC